AAAAAAAAAAAAAGAACACTCATAGAGAAATCAAGTGAGGTCGAGTCATTAGCTTAGAGTGTACAAACGTGTACAGTATCCTTTACAAGTTTAAGTATAATTGAACTAGGAAACTTTAATCAGGGAATAAACACTCAAATTACAAAGGATTGGCACTTATTTCTCCCCGTACGCAACGTCCGGCAACAGAAAATGCCGCAAGATACAAATGGGATAAACTGGATATCGATTCCACTGGATTGACTTGCAAATAGTAATGATGCTTATCCAATTTACAATTTTTCTTTTTTAAAAGTTACACCCAGCAGGAGATAGAGTTCCACAATTTCTGGCTCTAATCGGCTGTTTAAATGCACCTAACCCTAAGCTGGCAATCAAAGAGACTAATTTTTTCCTCAGGGCTCTCAAGACATATCCAACTGATTAATTTTCTCAGTACCCTATCTAGTTCATAAACTTGCACAGCAAAATAACACATCACAACCGCAATAAGCTAGATACCAGCTTAGATTCAAAGCCAAATTAGGAAAAACAGCGAGCGATCAGCACTCCGCATGAATCCACGACCAATCTATAAATCCTCAAATTTTAGACTCACCGAGAAAAAAAACGATAAGAGAACGTCAATTGAAAGCAAATTAGCAGCAGCGGAGAACAGAGATTGACCGTACACCGGAGATTTGACGGCGATCGACAGAAGAAGAAACCGGTGCCGTGCGGCGGTCGGACAAAGGTAAGCCGATTTAGAGATGAGAACACTCATATATATATATATATATATATATATAATTACAAGCTAATATAAAATCTATTTAATTCTACCTACATGGCAATTTAACCATTTACCTCCGACAACTGTTAATTTTGAATGTATTTAATCTTTTATTTAATTATTAAATAATCAATACTAATCAATTCAAAATTATAAAAATTATTTTAAACTTTTGATTATTAACAGTTGACTATATAATGTGTTGATCGTATATTGTGATTAGATATTATTATTGTGGTTACATTTAAATTATTATTTTTTTAAAAATAAAAAACTTATTTGAGATTCCTAAATAAATAATAAATAATTCAAAAAAAAGGCACCAAAATATACATTACATCCAATCAAATAAACATAATTTAAAAAAAATAAATATTTCAACTTCTTTAATTATAAATTTGACCTGCAAAAAAAGTGAAAGAAAAATAAATAATCATTATATATATACAAATAACTCACAATACTTTGTTTACATCTGTGCAAATGCACATGGTCTAATACTAGTGTGTGTGTAAGTTTGCTGAAAATACGTACACGATTTTTAAAAATTTTGATTTGTTTGGAATTTTTTATTTTGTTTGGTTAATTTTTAAAAATGTGGTAGGTTAGCTTTTAGTGGTATATTAAAATAATATTTAAAATAAAATAATTAGAATTGATTAGTTAAAATTATGTGAGTATGAGTTGATGTGGTGTGTAAGAATGATTAATTAATATTATTTAATTATACTAATAATATTGATGATAAGTGTGATTGAATTGAAAAAAAAAAAATGATTGAATTAAAAATGATTGGATTTTTTTAAATAAATTTTGTATCCAAGTATCCTCTTACTAATTTATCCAACTTCGTTTATCCATTTTTTAGGTGCTTTGGACTTTTAAATTTCATGCATAAATATCGGTTATTAATGTACATGCACATTTATAATTGATTACAAAACTAGTTTTATTCCGTGCATTTGCACAAAAAATGATATAATAGAAAAGATAGTAATTAATAATATAGATTAAAATAAAAATCATAACTTAATAACTGAGAAAAAAAATTTAATAAAAAATCAATCTAAATATTGTCAAACACTTTTTTTTTTAAACGATAGATCATATATAAAATACGTACTTACAACTAGTCGAAGAAGAGAGGTCTACCTCCAGATGGTAGCCTAAAATACAAACACTACAACACCACACAAAAAAAACTAAAAAACTCCACTAATAGAGAATACACGCTCCCCTACGGGAGCAAAAACACAAACGCACAATAACAATACGAAACAAACACGAACACAAGAACAACAAAATCCTAAAACGAACAATAGCTAAAAAGCTAAAGCCCTCCCCACCGAACGAGAAAGCTAGCAAACACTTCTTTATATACAACATTCGTGATTTTCATATCGCCATAATTGCCATCACAACAAATCATTACCGTTAAACTCATTTGACTCGTGACTATGATATTTGATTTTTGAAAATATTTTATATATCTTTATAATACCTGAAAAAAAATTATTATCGTATGAATGCAATAGAAGATAGAGATATTTAATGATCATTTTTAATTAGTTGTGAAATATGTATTTATATAATACAAAAAATATATTGTATCAAAAAAAAATTGTAGTTCAGGACACAAAAGACGTTATTAAAATAGGCACCGTCCAAAATGAGACCTGTCAAAATAAATTGTGTAACTGAAAGTTACATATTAAAAATAAATTATTAAATGAACACCTTTTTATCAAATGAACTCATATTATTAATCATTGACTGAACAAAATTTATTAAAATTTGTCAACAATTATATATATAGATTTTTTACAGTTTCCACATTTTTCTATTATGATAATATTTTCTTTTAGCGCTTATCCCTCCCCATTGGTAATATTAAGTCGTCCTTTATATATTTTTTTATTTTTTTTCTTTTGAAAAATCTATATTTTCAACGTAAATTCATCAGTTTTTTAATGAATATTGGCTTAGGCACCGTTACCGGGACCGAGTTATGGGGCATTTTTCAAGGGCTAACGTTGGTGTGGGAACTCGGATTCCGACAAGTGGTAGCTGAAGTCGACAGTCAAAGTGTGATGAATATGATCTTAGGGCCACAGAGCGAACCTGGGGCCAACGATTCCCTAGTCCGAGCGATTAAGGATTTGATGAGCAGAGACTGGAACGTGCGAACTCATGTACACCGGGAAGCCAATTTTGCAGCTGACTAGATGGCTAAACTAGCGGCTGAGTCTCCGCTTGGACTACACAGGATGCAAGTGCCTCCAAAAGAGTTGGATCCTTGGATCGACCACGACATCAGTGGGGCGACTTATCCACGTCGCATTCTAGTTTTGTAATTCCTGAAGCCTAGCCCCGTCTATGTACCAAAAAAAAGTCTCTCTTTTTTTTTGGTACAATTTAAAAGAGACTTTGACCAAATACATGTCCTTAAAATATCCACTATTGTAACATTTATTTATTTACCTTACCAATTTAATTTACAAAGCACAAATTTTGCCTTTGAGTTTTTTGGACAGATGAATTATATATAATTGTAGTATTCAATTTATGCATATACCCGAATTTTCCACTTTAATATTTATTTAATTGTGAAAAATAACCGTTAAATTTTGCATTAATATTTTTTTAAGTATTATTCATATAGTAATTACAAGTAATATTAACTAATTATAAATTTACATTAAAAGGTTTATGTAAGTTATACAATTATAAAATTAGTGTAAAATTTTATTTACTTAAAGTATTTATTTTAAAATGAATATGTCTTTTTATTTTTACCTCATTGCTTGAGCAATAAATTTGACTAGGTTATACAAAGGGGAGATGCTACGTTCCCGTTAGGAACTATTACGTCGGGGTTTGTAACTGTCAGATCACTATCTCTGACGGTTAAATAATGAACGGTTACAAACCCCGACAAAATGGTTCCGTAACTGGCCTGCAACATTTCCCTGTACAAAGTATCTATGTTTTGTGATATGTTTTGTGATTGTTAACCGTAAGGAAAAACACAAAACCCCAACTTTATTTTATTGTTGTTTTTTTAAAAAGTTTGCTGTCATGGAAGTATTTCGATCAAGTTCTTGTGACAGTAACAAAAATGGCCAAATGAGGTAGAAAACTACTGAGGTTTAAGGGGCACCTCATAAAACTTTTACACAAAAATCTCAATGGTGCATTCAAGTGGTCAACACTTGTTTTATATGTTAATGAAAAAACTTACATACATCTCTTTTCAATATGGTAACTCATTCTCTTTTAAGCAACACTGAAAGAACTTGCAGCATTTTCGACAAACTTCCGAGCACCCTTGAACCATCTCTTATCCCCGGCCTGTGCCTTGCAGATGTAAAGCTTCCCATCTTTCACCGTTGCTGATATCAGCTGATGTTTGCCCCCTTCATCCCCGTCAGCAGTCCTCGTCAGCACAGACAGGAAATAATACTGTGTGCCGCCGACCACTGGAGTCGACGCCTCCAAAATGTTGGCCGTTGCCACCGCTCCCGAGTCAAATCCACCCTAAAACAAAATAAATAACTAAACAATATGCACAAAATAACCTTTCTAGTTTACAGAGTCTACTGTTTTACCTCAGCATCAGTTTTACCAAAGTAGGCCTGTTTCCCAAGCAAATAGTCCACCTGTAACAACATAGCATGGATAAGATAAGAAAGAAAACCTTAACAAAACAACACTTAACAGCTCTGCAGACAACATAAATGATTTATCTATTTACCTTAGAGAGGAAATCTTCGGGAGAGCCATAGTCGGTAATAGATTTTTTGTCGGTGGGTGTGATTGTGACCGAGAGATTGCTAGTGGCATCGAAATTGTCTTCATATCTCAACACCTGACCGGGAAATTCGACCTCAGTGCTCGGGTTCCATTTTGAGGGAACCGCCACTTTGAACCCATCGCCATTGTAAACCTTGAAATCCGTGTTCGTTTTTGGCTTCCCAAAGATATTAGCTGCATATATACATCTTGTTTTCATCACTCAAAAGTTTTTGTGATAACTATTGCCTCGACTAAAGAAATAAAGTTGGAATATCACTTGTAGATTGTCTCACATTGATTCAACAAGAAAAAATCGGCATAGCTTATACGCCTAGTGGACTACTTTTCCATCACCACTTGGTTTTGAGATGAGATCTTACTAAGGTACACTTAGACTCACCTTAGGTGCGCTTCATCCCCGATTCTATAAAATCTGATATGGTCTCAGAAATCTAATAGAGTTTGTCGACTAATCAACGCCCGAATTTTGAAAAATGCGGCACAACAATTTTGAAATAATGTTACACAAACACAACAATTGTGATGCCATGCTCATATTTTGCCTGATCATAAGTGAAAAAATGTACAAAGACTACATTTTTTTACTTACAAAACAACGAGACTACAATACAAATAAAAAAGCGCAGTTAAATACCAGACTCTCCATAAGCAGCATCCGCAGGTGAGACTTTGGAGCTAGCAGCAGCAGCCCCAATCAGAACAGTGAGGGCCAATCTCCGGGAAACAACGCCGCCATCGGATTCTTGGGCCTCGGCCTGCTTTTGGGCCCGGCAGACTAGTACGCCGGGCTTCAGAGACGGTACTTGGCGGCTGTTAGAAGCTGTTCTCGCAGCTGGGCTTGAGACAGTTGCAAGGTGGTGCAAGAAACATGCAGTTGAGGCCATTTTTTTTTCCCCTTTGGTTTGATGAGATTATTCTTGATTGCTTGTGGGCGTGTGTGTGTGTGTGTGTAGATTTTGATGAGTTTAGTGTGTGTGGTGCGTGTGAAGTTTGGATATTGTGAAGATTTTCGATATGGGAGGGATAAGGTGGTTGAGGTTGTGATTGGTGCCAAGTGGAATTATGTTGCAATGTAATAATCTCCATTGGCCCTTCAAATTTGGGTCCCAATATGCTATTGTGTGTGTATACTTTGCATGCAATTTTGTCCAATTACAGCCTACAATTTTGTTCAATAATTATTCAGAAATGCAACAGAAAATAAGTAAGTTCCATAACAAATCCTCAAATCTGTTTTCTGCTACATTATTCAGGACAGGTAAACACCACTCGATATGAATAAATTTTAGGGAAAAAAGAAATCACATATTCGAGCACCAAATGAATATTAACCTACTACTTATTTATACATATAGTCGAGTGCAGAGCTTATCAATACTTATAATCTTGTCCAAAAGTATAATAAAACAGCATTCTCCATTGACATTTTGAAGTTAAATGAGATCGTCCATCGGATCTGAATATGTTTACACATACTAGAACTCTCGACAGGGCACCTCGCGCATGGTGCTTGCTAATCCTTCAACTGGCCTTTGATCTTCACGCGAAAAAGATACATTAGCATGACACTAAGTTACCGAGACTATTTTTGAACGGGAAGCAGAATGGAGTGAACGGAAGCTTGTGAACTGCCCGGCTAACTTTCCACTTTAGTCCCATCTGGCACAGAGAATGCTGTTTCAAGCTGGAAATTACAATGTTATGAGCCATTTGTCAAGAGAGATGGCCACAAAATGCAAAAGTACTGTTCTTTTTCAATCAACTAGGAACAATAAATATATTAAGCATTTCTTACTAAAACTGTTTGATCAAAAGAAGCTTTTAGGTCTAAATCAGAAACAAACCAAGGGCTCAGATATACACCCAAAATCTGTAAGCAAATGAGACGGTACTTACGCCAAAACACGTTCATTCATTCACGAAAACATAACTGATGAAACTGCTGAAGCAACATAGCAGAAAATGCATACAATTAATCAATTAACGACACTAAGGAAAAAAAAAAAAGAGAGAAAAAAGAAAACGTACATAAGTTATCAAACAACCGGAAAAGGAAAAAAAAAAAAAAGGAATCACCTCCACTATCTTCAGAAATCAAAATTTATCCCCGAACTCCTCTTATCACGCTTATTGTCATCACCAAAATCACCAAAACGAGTCGAACGGGAACTTTGACCAGATTGCGAACTGCCAAATCCACTCGAACTAAAATCCCCAAAGCCGCTCGAGCGACCACCATTGGCAAATCCGCTCGAGCGACCTCCGCTTCCAAATCCACTGTTCCTAGCTGGCCCACCCAGGCCCGATCCAAAACCTCCACCCCCTGAACCTCCATAACCACCCGACCTACCACCACCGGAACCTCCATAACCACCTGACCTGCCACCACCGGAACCTCCATAACCACCAGACCTACCACCACCGGAACCTCCATAACCACCCCCGGAACCTCCAGAGCGTCCAAATCCAGAATCACCAAAACCACCTGAACGTCCAAAACCGGAATCGCCAAAACGGCCACCTCCCATCCTTCCACCAGAACCAAAACGACTACCCCCTCCAATGCCACCATACATGTCCAAGGACCCAGGTTCAACAGCTATCTTCGGGAGCTACAGCCAGACAAAATACAAAAAAACTTGCATTTTAATTGAAAGTTCAAAACTTTACACAAACAAAGAAAAGATTAGACATGTTGCACATCATATAGCTGATATTAAAATATCTTAAAGAACCTTAAAGATGTAGCTCACCTCATTGAACTGGCATCCCACATCACGTTCGATTGTTTGGACATCCCTACGTTCGTGTGCTGTATACATAAGAATTGCGGTACCTTTCTTTCCAGCACGACCTGTTCGTCCAGATCGATGGACAAAAGTCTCCGGGGTATTGGGAATTTCATAATGTATAACCTGTGCATAAAAAAGCAATAAAATCACTAATAACACGTCACAAAACTGTAAGTTTAGACAAGCCGAAGTTCTACAAGAGCAACCACATGATAAGTTTCTTGTAAGAGACCATAACTGTGCCCGTGCCCAGTACACTGCTAAAGATATAAAATTTGGAACCCCAAAAGGAAGCTGCACTCCCAGAAATCAAAGATTAAAGTTGATAAAAATTTTAATTCATTCCTTTTTTTTGTTTTTGGTACTGGATTACTTGTCTAACTAATGATGCCACTGGGACAAATAAAATGACATTTACCTATAGAGCCTAGGCAAGTAGAAACACAACACCAGGTACGCATCTCTACCTTAGGGCATTAAAACATTTCTATAGCATGAAAAGGTTAAAGGTGCAATGGCACTTTCTCCAATATATATTTTAGTAACACAACCTTGTTTTAACAATTGCATCCAAAGCTAAGAACGAAAAGAATTCAAATAATAGAAGAATCACCAGATCAACATTTGGCACGTCAAGTCCACGAGCTGCCACATCAGTTGCCACTAAAACATTGATTCGGCCATCCCGAAAGTAAGACAGAGTTCTCTCCCTTTGGTTCTGTGAAATATCACCATGCAGTGGTTCGCATTTAAAAGTCTTTTGCATCGCATACGCCAATCGATCAGCATCACGCTTTGTTTGGGTAAATACAATACATTTACCTCCTTTGCCATGCTCCTGATAAATCCACCATGGTGTTCCATTCAAAATAAAATGAAGCAACAGAACAAAATATTCGATTAAATATAGCAGAAAGTTGAAATTCCAGATTTATACAGTTATCAGAGGGCCGAGTATTGCTGGTTTTTCTCTCAAGTCAGATGCAATTGAATACAAGGAAATCCCATCAGCTAATTTCTGATCATTTTCTCCCACCTACAACTCAAATTAAACGTCAACAAACTTAGGCCAGTATAAGATTATACAAAGGGGACAACTAAGAAAAAAAAAGAAAGAAAAAAGATATAATAGATAAGATTAGAGTTTTAGCACAATGCTGTAGCTTACAAGGTCGATGGTAACTGGATTTTTCAAGAATTTTTGAATAAGTTTCTGGATCCAGTTTGGCATTGTAGCTGAAAACATCATTGTCTGATGCTTCTGTGTAATATATCCCAAGATAGTCTCGACATCATCAGCAAATCCCACATTAAGCATCTGATCAGCCTCGTCAAGGACAACATATTGCACTTTTGACAAATTAAGGGACCCACGCTTGATCAAATCAATGACACGGCCAGGGGTCCCAACAACTACATCAACACCACGGTCCAGGGTACTCATTTGACGGGCTATTTGAACACCCCCATAAACACATAATGTATCTAGTTTTTTGGCAGACTCAGCAAATTCTATGTCCACTTGTTTAGCAAGTTCCCTTGTAGGAGCCAGAATAAGTGCCAAAGGATCTCTGCCCTGGCTGAAAGACAACAAGCAACAACCTTCAGATTCACATTTCCAAAGAAGGATCAGGTAAGAAGATAGCTGAAAATCTGATAAAATGCTAACCCATGTTTCTCATTGAACTTAATGATTTTATCCATGATAGGGATCCCAAAAGCCAGTGTCTTCCCTGTCCCAGTTCTTGCCCGACCAATCATGTCACGTCCCTGCATGGCAGGTTCCAAAACTGCCCTCTGCAATTGCACAAAATTACCTTCATCATCAACAAAAACAAAATCATATCCAACCAATCATAAGAAACAATCAGACTATCAACATAATACTTAAAACCGGCAAACTGAAAAAAGCTTTCTCGTTTCATTTTCTAACTTCAATTGAGTAGAACTGACACAGATTGTTGCACTTGTACAGAATATGAACAACGGTGCCAATATTCCTGCACCAGAATACATACTTCCAGCAACAGGAGCTGTTATAATACGTCATACGACCACATAATTAACACAAAATGCATAAGTTTCAGTTTTTCTTCTTTGTATATCTGGAATTGGACCTGAATAGGGAAAAGCTTCTGGATACCCCTACTCGCCAGGGCCGATACAATATCCTGCGAAATCCCAAGCTTTGAGATCTCAAGCCCCTCATCCGATGACTCGCTTGAAGAGTCCCTTTTCTCCTCGGCATCAGAATAATCGGCCACAGCAAACCCAGCCCGCAGAGCCAGGCTCGAATGGAAACCCCTCGTCAGCCCAAACGCCGGCGAAGAAGGCCTGACCAGAGGGGGTTCAGTGCCATACGTGTGAATATGCGAGGAAATGAGGGCATTAGAGGAAACAGAGAGTGGTTTCCCAGAGAGCAGATGGCTTAGCGCAGTGAGCGCGATCCTGCTGGATGATGGCGAAGATCGCCTGATCTGAAGGAGGCTGCCCATCATTTTCTTATCTTGCTCGGAAATGAAAGAGGTGAAGTGAGAAGGGCGGAAATGAATGAGTGATGAAACCCTAACGTGTAGAAGGGTTTTAGTTAGGGTTTATGGCAAAAAGGAAGAGCCTTGAGTGACGACAATCAAAAGGAAGATATGAGTTAAATACTTGGATATTTTTTATGAATGTACTGCAAGCCTAAGAAGGCCTTGTATTGATTTGGGCTGGGCCATATTTTGTGAGATATGATTTGGGCTGAGCCAGTATAACGGCCTTCCTCCCTTTTGCCGCTTCTACCCTTTTGCTCTCCTTAAGAGCATCCACAATGCTTTGGGTCTCTTTTTGCATAGGTGGCAAATAAATGGACTTAAGTCCATAATGACATGGACAAACCCAAACTAAAAAATCCAAAATCTATCCAATGCAAAAATAAAATACTAGGTCTAGCATACATGACAACCAATAAAAATGCTCTAATATATTTTATTTATTAAGAGAAAAATTAAATAAGGAATAAATGATGAATGCTTGTGTTTGTATTTGGGTCTAAAATAGACCCAAGTGTGGTCTAGGTCTCATTTTTTTATTGTCACATAAGCTAGACTAGGTCCACTTTTAATTGCATTGGGAAACACTTTTTTATAGACTAGGTCTATTTCCTACATGGCATGTAATTTTTTTTTCTAAGAGACCCAAAGCATTGTGTGTGCTCTTATTCTTTTCACGGTTTTACCCCATATTTTTCTTCGCTCCCTTCTGCCACAAGCTTCAGGGGTTGTTTGGTTGGGGGAAAAAGGAGAGGAGGCGAGTGGAGGAGAGGGCATTTTTTATTTTTTTCCTTGTTTAGTTAGAAATTTGGGGTAGCAGGGGGAAGGAAAATTTTAACTTAAAATTCTCTCCCCTCCCCATTTTTGCTCCCCTCCAAAAGTGGAAAAATTTGGAAGGAAAGGAAAATTTTAATGCATTGAATTACAATCTTACCCTTATAACATAATATATAAGTTTTTATTCATCATTAAGGATATATTTGTCATTTTAACATTATTTTCCCTCTCCTTTCATTTTCTTACCAAACAATGTTTACTATTTTCCCTTCATTCTCCTCCTACAAATCATCATGTAACCATCAAACAATTGTTCTAACGGTTACAAATCTCGACGAAATGGTTCTATAGCAGACCGGAGCATCTTCCCAAGCTTTAAATCATCTCATTAAAGCAAACGAAACAAATATTGAATGAGCTTACAATCAATCGTTTTGCTTTAACGGCTCCATTTTCTATTCTATAGTCCACTAGTATTCATCCTGTGCACATGTACAAAGAAAAATAAAAATTTATATATTATAATTATGTATACAATATATACGAATATTATAGTAAATAATTGATGTATTACATTTTAAATTTGGACTACATGCAAATGTGTAATGTAAATATAATTTATTTAACTTACGTATGAATCTTTATATTGATGCCATAAATTTTAATGGCTAATATAATTTAGTAATTTAGAGAGACCATACAATTAATTAGTTAAAAAAGTATTACAATTATTTTTATCATTGTTATAGCATTTGTTTATGTGATTTTAATGTGTTTAATTATGACACTCATGCCAATTAACTTATTAGATAAAAATCGCTTAAAAAGAACAAAAATATTTTATTTTAGAAAAAGTATTTCAAAAAAAAAATTGCAATATATTTTTTTATAAGTATGTAACTTCCACATACTATTTAATGTAAAGTTGTAATCAATTAGTGTTAGTAGTGAATAAATTATATTAAAATTATTATTATTACACTTTATTAATGTAAAATGTAACGGTTCTACATTAATTGAAAAAATGTGCGGCAAAATGAATGAAAATTTTATTAAATATTTTATTAAATTCTATATGCCAGCATATATATATATATATATATATAGATTTTCAATGTGCTCGGAAGATACACGACAACACCAAAAACAATGCAACTGGCCACTAACTTCCGTCCACGTGTCCTACCTACGTGTTGACTCATCATTTGCCATTGCACTGGCCTTCTCCACCTCGTCTTTCCGTTACATAAACCCCTTCATCGGCCCCAATCGCCGTTGATGCCCCGCATGAGAGCTCGGGGAAGTTCCACAAAAATGGGGTCTCCAAATGCAGTCCATGGTCTGCTCCTCCTATCGCTGTTTCTACTGAATTTTATTCAATCCGAATCGGCGGTGGCCAGCATAGATCTAGGCTCCGAGTGGCTGAAGGTCTCCGTGGTCAACCTCAAGCCCGGCCAGCCGCCGATCTCGATCGCCATCAACGAGATGTCGAAGCGCAAGACGCCGTCCCTCATCAGCTTCCACGCCGATTCGCGATTGATCGGCGAGGAGTCGCTCAACCTCCTCGCGCGCTACCCGAGCAAGGTTTACTCCCATCTACCCTCGCTCCTCGGCAAACCCTACCGTTTCGCGCGGGATCTCCTCCGTAAGCTGTACTTGAGCTACGAGATGGTCCCCGAGGACGTGCGCAGCGTGCCGGTTTTCCAGGCGGAGAGTGGGAATTTCACGGCGGAGGAGCTTGTGGCAATGGTGCTGAAGTATGCAGCTGGGCTGGCAGAGACACACGCCAGGACGGGCGTGAAGGATGTGGTGATCACGGTGCCTCCGTTCATGGGGGTGGCAGAGAGGAGAGGACTTCAGGCGGCCGCGGATTTGGCGGGGCTGAATGTGCTGGCATTGGTGAATGAGCATTCAGGGGCTGCTCTGCAGTATGGGATTGATAAGGATTTCTCCAATGAATCGAGGCATGTGGTCTTCTATGACATGGGGGCGAGCAGCACCTATGCTGCATTGGTGTTTTTTTCAGCTTATAATGCTAAGGAACGGGGGAAGAGTGTGTCCGTGAATCAATTTCAGGTGATTTTTTCTTAATTGTATGCCAGAAAGTTTGATATTTGAATGGTTACAAATCTCTGGGATTGTGATAGATTTTTAAATGCATTTTCTCTTTTGTTGATGTTCTGCGGTTATTGTGAAAATTCATTTTCTTGAAATGAAAATTCTGCCTTGGTCAAGAGTCTAGAGATAAATACTTAGTGGAGGTACAGAGCTTTGTTGGATAATATTTTTCTTTTTTTTTTTTTTTTCTGTAAAGAAGTACTTCATATATGAATTGATATTGCAGTGTTCGTTGAAGATAGTGTTTAAAGTGGATAGTTTGACAGTTGATGGTATTTGTGTTTCAGGTGAAGGATGTCAAATGGGATGGGGAACTCGGGGGTCAGAGAATGGAGCTGAGGATGGTAGAGTATTTTGCTGATGAGTTCAATAAGCAGCTTGGAAATGGGATTGATATTAGGAACTCTCCCAAGGCTATGGCCAAGTTGAAGAAACAAGTTAAGCGCACAAAAGAGATTCTGAGCGCTAATGGGATGGCTCCAATATCTGTAGAGTCTCTATATGACGATCGTGACTTCAGGTTAGCAAATCTTTTGAAGAATGACTCTCAGCTGCCACTTCTTAAGAAAGTAAAGCTCTCAGGCCTATATTATGATTTCTGCTGCAATCTTTTGAGCACTGCTGATTTTTTATTTCTTATTTTCAATTATTTTTGTTGCGATAACAAGTGCATGACTTATTTTACACATACAATCCCGGCCATATGTTTCATGCAGGAGCTCCTTCGCTTGTTCTTTGGTATTTCCCATTTTATGATTGGTGTTAGTTTGAATGCTGATAAATTTCTTTTGTTCCTTGTGATTTCCAAAACCTTTTCTTTTGGAACATACATAGCTGGCCATGTGGGTATATAATTGCTTGTATTCTTTCCTCTGGACCATTTATCCCCCTATAGGAGCACAATTACTCGTGAGAAATTTGAAGATCTTTGTGAAGATCTTTGGGAAAAGGCCCTTGTTCCTCTGAAAGAACTTCTCAAGCATTCTGGATTAAGTTCTGATGATTTATATGCAGTGGAGTTGATTGGAGGTGCCACTCGAGTTCCTAAGTTGCAGGTTGTTGTAGGATTTCAATGTGAAATGGGTGCATCACATTTAAAACTTTAACTGACGCGGCTTAAGTTTCTCAAAAAAGTAACATGTTAGTCACTCTTAAGTTGCGATATCGAGATTAAGTGATACACTACATATATTGTAGCTTGGTTACCATCTATAGGATTGATGATTTGACTCCAGCCAAGAGTTTCATTTTTTAGGCTAAGCTTCAGGAGTTTCTTGGAAGGAAGGAGTTAGACAAGCATCTGGATGCCGATGAGGCAATTGTTCTAGGTGCCTCACTGCATGCTGCGAATTTAAGTGACGGAATCAAATTGAACCGTAAGCTAGGAATGATTGATGGTTCTACTTATGGCTTTGTGTTTGAGTTGAATGGTGATGGTCTAGTAAGAGATGAAAGCACCAGACAGCTTATTGTGCCAAGGATGAAAAAGTTACCCAGCAAGGTAATAAGCTTTCTCGATAGGGCATGTGATCTATCTCATCCAATGGCATCATTTGATTTATTTTCACATTAATTGCAGATGTTCAGATCTATTGTTCACAACAAGGACTTTGAAGTTTCACTTTCTTATGAGAGTCAAGATCTGTTACCCCCTGGAGCCTCTTCTTCAGTATTTGCACAATATCATGTGTCAGGTCTCACAAACGCTAGTGAAAGGCAAGGATTAATATTTTTCTATAAATCCGTCTTCATTTAGTTACAAAACTGCATTTTACTAATCCCCAGTAAATTTCAGGTACTCATCACGAAACCTTTCCTCCCCAATTAAGGCCAATTTACACTTCTCTCTCAGTAGAAGTGGTACTTTTTCTTTGGACCGGGCAGAAGCTGTTGTTGAGATAACTGAATGGGTAGAAGTCCCAAGAAAGAATATCACGGTAGACAATTCAACATCTGCTTCGGCTAACCTTACAGATGCTGATACGAAGAATCCTTCAGAGGAAAACTCTGACAATGTGGAGACTAACAATAGCAATGGTAACACGTCAGAATCTAGAGTTAGTGATAATGCTGGCACTGTGGATCTTGGTATTGAAAAGAAGCTGAAGAAAAGGACTTTCCGAGTTTCCCTAAAGGTATTCCAATTATAACTAGTCTTAGTTGAATGTTGCTGCATTTTACATTCTTCAGAATCCTAATCATGTGTTTTTGTAGATTATTGACAAAACAACAGTACCTGGAATGCCTTTCTCGAAAGAATTCTTTGCTGAGGCTAAACATAAATTGGAAGCATTAGACAAAAAGGATGCAGAAAGGAGAAGAACAGCAGAATTGAAAAATAACCTGGAAGGATACATATATTCTACTAAAGACAAGGTAATTGTTTAATTCTTCTTCAGAGATTTTGTGCTCATGACTACAGTCTCATTGATCATGCCTAGCACTTTACCCTCACTGCATATTGGGAACACTGTATTTTTTAGGAATCAGATGTGGTGGATATAATTTTAGTGCTTTACAAGTGGCCAGTTGGTGTTTCTATATTTTTCTGGCTTGGATCAGTATTTTCACTATAACCGATCTATATATTACCTAGCCTAGTCCTTTAAAGTTTCTGTAGACATGATACTTATCCACAAATAATTTTTGTCAAAGATCACCAAGATTTCGCGGTCCTCTGTCAAACTTAATCCAATTCCAAGAGCTCGGATTGAACACCGATTTGTTCCGAGCTCTCTTATTCATTCCCCATTCACCGCCACCTTGGTGGTGGTGGGTGGTGCTTAGATGGTTTCACCTTTATCTTGCATTTGGGGACAGTTTTCTGTTTGTTATATTTGTTCATGAATTGGCAATCAGGGTTGCAAGCATCCTGTATTATTTTGTGGCATCTAATTACCAAATGCTTTCTTAATTGTTGATAATAGCTTGAAACAGACGAGTTCGAAAAAATTTCTACAGATCAAGAGCGGCAGTCCTTTATTGAAAAACTTAATGAGGTCTGTCCCTCTCTCTCTCTCTCTCTCTCTCTCTCTCTCTCTCTCTCTCTCTCTCTCTCTCTCTCTCTATGTGTGTGTGTGTGTGTGTGTGTGCAATTTTGCTGTCCCATGGATTTTCTGTATTGATTTTCTCTCAAGAATCTTGTTAAATACTGGTGAGTCGTACATTGGTTTAGGTGCAAGATTGGCTGTATACTGATGGTGAAGATGCTTCTGCTACTGATTTTCAAGAGCGGCTAGATATGTTGAAAGCCATTGGTGATCCCATATTCTTTAGGTTTGTCCCTGTAGCCAAAAGTTGATTAGTAAAGCTATTTCATGTTGCAAGGTGTCCCTTATGTGTCAACTTTTTTTATACAGATTTAAAGAACTCACTGCACGTCCGGCTGCATCTGAACATGCTCAGAGATACCTTACGGAGTTACAGCAGGTTAATTAGTTTTGCTCTTCATCAACAATAATAAAATATAAAGTTAATCAAAGGACTGAAATAGAAGCATGTTTGTTTCGAATTTCGGGAAGCATACTTGTCCTTACATTGATATCTGCTCTGATTTTTCACATCACTCAAATTTAAGATTGTACAAGGATGGGAAAAGAACAAACCTTGGCTGCCGAGAGAGAGAATAGATGAGGTAATCTAAACTTATCACAAAAGGCGTAAGTTTTAAATTTTTCGTGCGAAAGTGAAATTGCAAGTCACTTATTTTTGGTTTTCTAGGTCATACGTGAAGCTGAAAAGTTGAAAAATTGGTTAAGCGACAAGGAGGCTGAGCAGAAGAAGTGAGCTTTTTCCTTCAGTTCTCCAAATACAGTGGAATGTCCTTTATATGGTTATTATTTCATACATTTACAGGATTAGGTATGTTGAATAGAGAAAATTGGCGGGTTTTTTTAAACACAGCTCAAAATTAAATTGGTTGAAAATAGTGCATATACCTGGAATGACAAGTTGCTTGACGGATATAACCTTCGCAAGTGCAAAATGTTAACTGATGGGTGTTACTTGTTAGCATGTACTGTTGGTGATATAGTATCATTTAGGATTAAGTTTATGTTTCTCTTTCCTCTGTATTGAACATTTATACTTTTCAAAAGTGTTAACACGTACATCATCCTAATTTCTTTTTCAACAGGACCTCTGGGTTTAGCAAACCAGCAATCACGTCTGATGAAGTATATGATAAGGTTTTAGATCTCCAGGACAAGGTATTTCACTGTCATGTTGAAGATAAATACGTTTAGCATCAGAATTTTTGCTTTTCGTTAGTGGTAATAAAATTCGCATTTGAAGTTCAAGGATGTACATTGATTGGATACATACAGAAATATTAAGAATTGACCTAAATTAACCTACAAAACATTTCGTCATTTAGAACCCAAAAGGGAAAAAAGAAAAAAAAAAGTAAAGAGGATTTGGAAGAGTAGGTATTCTGTAATTACACAAACATTGACGGTAAACTTAGTTATTTATCCTATGTGGTGGATTCATGGTCATTCATGTTTTTCAACATGTAGGTTTCGAGTGTGAACCGTATTCCCAAACCAAAGTGGAAAGTTAAGAAACCCGCCAAATTAAATTCCACCGACTCTGCATCTGAGGGAACAAACTCCTCAAAGGCGGATGACAATGCGGATGCCGAGTCCAAACCAAATGACGAGCTGTAAGAATCAATATAGGGACTTACAGAAGAACGAAAAACACCTACAGTGCTAGGGTGTTTCGAGGACAGACATAGACAGTAGAACGGTAGTGAAATTAGGTCCCGTTAGAAAGGACAGAGTTTGAGCCCACATTTTTTTATTTAAACTACGGTCAGCTTGCGATATCTATAGTTGTAAATCCTGCCATGCTCGAGTTCGAAGGCTCTACTTAGAAACTTTTGGTGTCTACATCAATTGTTAGCTAAAATTGTTAGCCATTTTGGCTCTTGGAAGAATTTTGTTCGGCTTGTTTGCTCGAGAATATGTGTAGGAAGAATTTTGACTATGTATGAGTTGGAGAGAAAGGTATGAGTTGGAGAGAAAGGAAGTGTAGAAGTTTGGCCGGATAAATCAATATTATGTTTAACATCCACAACGATGCTTCTTGGTATGCAAAATGTTTCTCATGATAACATGAATTATGGGAAATAAAATTATCTGTACTTGACAAAAGTTTAAGTTCATACTCCATAGTATAGTCTCTTGCTTTTACAACAAAAAAAATAGAGTTGAAAAGCTATCAACGAGTTTAGTTAATACTCCTTCCTATTCATTATAAATGTCGTTTTGACTTTTTTGATTCATCCATTTTGTTATGTATTAGACATTAATATGTCTAGATACATAACAAAATGAATAAATCACAAAAGTCAAAACGACATTTATAATGAACAGAAGGTAGTATAAATTTTCCATGATTCAATTGATAGGCACCACGTCAGCTTAACTCTTAAACAGAAGTCACTATGAGAGAGAGAGAGAGAGAGAGAGAGAGAGAGAGAGAGAGAGAGTTGTTGGAACAAAGAAAAGAAGTCTGATGTTATTACAAGCATCTGGTGGTGATGGTGAACAAGTATTCTCTCGTCATTGAGTCATTTTACAAGCATTCTCAAATAAACTGCACCAGAGCCGTCAGCATTCTGAGTCAAATCACCTGTATTTTCACCCTTACTCATGTCAAAATGTAACCCACAGTTTTACAGAAGAGTTTCTAGAAATTAAAGGAGCAAATAAAAAAAAAGGCTCTCCACAGTAAAATGGTTATTCTTATACACAGGCGCTCCCAGCATATGAAAATTTGCAAAAGTAAGCATTTCTTCAACAGCAGAACGGATAGAAGACAACAAACAGGGCATCACAAAGCAGTTACCAGTCACAAACTTCTATCAGTTATCGCTTGCCCGCTATTCCCACCATGGCCGTTGAGACCAGTGACAGACATCGATCGTCGAGCAAAATTTATTAACAACTTCTTTTGGCTCTCGTCAGTGTGCGGGACACTGGCTCGCAGGAGCTCAACTGGCATCTCCCGGCTGGCAGCTCTGGCGCCCTCTGCATAAACTATCTCTGTATTCTGTGGGTTTTGTGCAATAATCGACTGCATTATACTATCATATTTACTTGCACAATATTTCGTCAGAAGACCAAAGAAAGCATCGAACGAGGCCTGCCATAGGGCGGGATTAGCCACGGTGAAACTGTTAACAGTTGACTGACGATCATTCAACAATTGAGTAGCTCGTTCCAAAACAGATTTCAAGATAACCGAAGCTCCATCACCAGACAGACTCCCAAAAGGGCGAAGTGGTGGCTGTTCGGATGAGCAAACTACAGCTGCAAGACAAGCACTGAGGGCATTAAGGTCCATACCGTTAACACAAACAGCGACCGTTTTAGCCAGGGCATTGATGGTATCAGCCGCCTCGGAATCATCCGGAAGGCCCCCGAACAGAAATCTAAGGTGTCGGAAAATGGCCATGCAAACTATCCGGGCAAGCTCGCTGCCCGGAAGAAGGAGCTGGAGGAACCTAGAAATGAGCTTACAACCCTTGGCGACAGAGACAATCCGTAGAAAAACAATATCGTCCTTCGGGGACAACCCGACCGAGTTTCCCCCTTTCCCGAGCGGGTCCACCAGCTGAAGGGAAGCGGCCAGGCCTTCGAGTAGAATATGGCGCTTGCGCCTGGACTGGACCCCACCACCCTCCTGATGCTGACTGGACTGCATAATCCGGTCAATGTCGTCCACATCGAGAAGGAGGCAAAAACCATCCTCGATTGTCACCCGAGCCGCGAGCATTGGCTCTTGCTCCAGGGACTTTCCGGAAGGTTTTTGCTCAGGGTCACTATCCCCACATGCTAATGGAGGAGGGTCCGCATTGAGAAGCGGGCCGGGCCTACGAACGGAAGAGAAACAGACCCGCCCGTGAGCGTCGACACGGAGGTGCGGCTGCGGCTCGGGATTGTTGCGGGACCGGGACCCCGACTGTTCCCTCGAGTGGGAGGGGCAAAAACGGAATTTCGACCTCGTCTCGGCCGATTTCTTGGCGAGGCGGGCCTGGTGGTAGTAATCGTCCACATAAGGATCGTTTGCGTGGGCCGCAGCTTGCTGCAGTTTAAGGATGCTATCGATTTCATCAGCCGTCATGTACTTGGATCGAAATTGTGCCACATTGCTGCTCCCACTACCTTCTGAACCACCATAATTCGAGAACCGCACGGAATTTTTCCCCTTTTGGGTCGATCTGTGTTGTTTTGACTCTTTCCTATCAGCAGCAGCATATTTATTCCGATGGGGCTGTAAAGGGGCACTGTTGAATATTCCAGACTGTAGAGCTGAATAATGGGGTAAAGATGATTGTAACGAGAGGTGCCGCCTCAGGACCTGCGGAGAAGTTAGGTGTGAAGGTAATAACCACTCGTTTTGGTACTGTTGCTGCCGGATATTGCGTAGGAGGACTGAGTGGTCGCTGTGAAGGAGCCCGGCCCGGCTAATCCCGTGGTTTTGGAGGTGATTGTTATGAAGAGATAGATTAGGGGAAATTAGGTGTGCCAAGTTAGTGTTATTATAATGGTACCCATGAGACAAGCCAGGCAAATGGGCAGAGGAGCTAGAAAATGGTGAGCTGCTCTGTGTGGAGAAAGGCGATGGTGGCCCACTGGGAAGAGGTGACGACAAGTTGAGATAATGCAAATTGTTGCGCGAGATTTGTTGGGAACCTGGTGGAGGGAAGGAAGTGAAAGACTGCTTTGGGTATAAAGTTGGGTCACTAGAGAAGTGGGGCAACTGTTGCTGTTGGATGGGGTACGACGATGTTCGGTGTAACAGTTTAGATTCCGGAAGATTCATCATAGATGAGAGATGAGGTTGGGATGACCATCTGTTGCTTTCTTCGTAACATTCAGAATCGGATATGTGATGGTCTAACCAATCAGGAAAGTCTGCATCTCTCGTCCATTCTGTAGCTGATGAACCTGAAGTAATGTGGACTAATCAGGAAAATAAATATAGCAAAGCAGATAATATGAGAGATGAGTAAACAATATATGCCACGATTTATATATGTAGTGCCCAAATCAGTTGATTCAAATTCTTTTTTCCTAAAACTTCCAATATTAAAGAAAGATCTCACTAAATGTGATTATTTATCATTTAGAATGAAGTAAATCTAAGAGCAATGAAAAACTATGATTCTTCAATTAGAGTAATAAGAACACTCACTCCCCCTAGAGAATGATCCAGATCCTCGATCACCAATAACTCCAGGATGTCTTGGTCCTGAAACATCTTTGTTCAACTGCAGAAAACAACAAATGCAAATCGGCGTGAGGATTGAACACATAATAAAGTGACCGAGGCTTTAAATCAACAAAACAGGAATTATTTGTGTTAGTTATGGCCAATGAAGAGATTGAAGAGAAAATATTTTTTAGGAAGATTTTTCATTAGCAGAGCATTTCAGAATTTTAACTGTTATTTGGGATTTTCTGTTTACAAACACATAAAGCTGTCTTCAAGGATTAATCTGTATAGCCAAGATTCACATCCAATATACTGAAACAGACATATACTAAATCAATTATTGCGTCCAGTGACTAAAACCAGATATTGTGCATATTTAGACATGGGAGATTGCACAAAGAAGTATATTTCTTGAGAGTACATCTGTATAACCCACTATGACTCTTCCTTTTAAGTGATACAGCATATGCACTTCATAAAGCATGCAAGAATCGTTTTATGTCAGCAACACAGATAAGTGATTTGTTAAAGCAGAAAGATACTCGAAGAGTATCATAAGTCCAGATGGATCAGTCAATATCACAATACGAAACAACAGCTCAAGGACTAATCTATTGATCATGCAAATGTAGTCTCATTGAGTTCAAAATTCAACAGAAATTTAGGTATAAAAGCAACTCACCTTTGCAAATGTAGTGGCCAAATCATCTAACTCAGATAATGATCCTAATCCTGAGCCCTGGGAAAGAAAAGAATAAATATACTGAAATAATTAGGTTGAAGAAAATGAGGCTCACAAAACTAAATTAGAAGATTGGTTGAAAGAAGTTCATATAGTCCACCCTGTAGATCTATGTGAAATAGGTATACAGACACCACCAATGAAAAAGATACTCACCATCAAACAATTGGGAAATAAAGTCAAAATACGAAGACGATATCATCCTTACATGAAAGTGAATTACACATCCCAAATCATATAATCAATAGTTGATACATTTCGAAGCTCTAGCAGCTCTTTCAGACATTTGAACAAATATGCCACCGCCTTTGCATCAAGTGCATTCACAAACTGAAAACTAAATAATGAATGAATGGTCTGCCACCAACTTTAAGTCATTATTTTAAGCAACTATGTATAATAGGAAGTTCAAAAACTTCTATATTTTATTTTCTTTTATGCTTCTAAGAGTTTAGCAAAAAATCTGTGACAAAATTCCATATATCAAAGATGAGGTACAAAGAGCTTATAAGATTCATTTACTCGACCAACTTCAATTTCATCCAACTAAATCAAGAAACACGTTTAAGAAAAAAAAAAATGTGTGATTATAAACTAGGAGAAGACTGTAGGAACTCCAAAAGTCAATATGATCAATTGCATGCAGGCAGTCAAGCAATCATTACCTATATAACATGCACAAGATACCAGTTCCATACTTCCATCAAATATTCGTCCATATACATTTATTGATAATTGATGGTGTTGATATATGAGTCTTTGAAATTCCAATGATGCAACTTGAACAATGCAAGAAAAAAG